ATGGCTAGGGCGAAGTCCTATGGAACGTATTACACCTTTTCCTTCCTGTCTCGTTTTACCTCACGGTTTTCCAGAAACAACTTGCTTCCCGGTTTGCCCGCCAAATCACCCCCTCCAACAGCGAGACTATTGGTTTGGCCCCTGGACTCGGATTGGCTGAAGGTTTACGCCTAAGCCAGGGATTGGAGGACGTTGGTTCCTTACGTATGCCCCGCGCCCATTGGTTCGTTTTCCCGGTTTCTGGGAGGAGTGGTTAGGGACGGTTTCCACCCCCTTGTTTACGGAGCGCGTAGTTGTAGCGCTCTCTGAGAGCTGGGGCTGCTTTCAAAGTTCCCTATTTAGCTTCTCAGACCAATTAGGTCTCTGCTCCACCCTCAACTTCTTTGCACGCCTCCCGCGTGGTACTGCCCTCACCTTTAGAGCGGCGGCGCGAACGGACGCCCGCCACGTTCCTCCGCTCGCGCTCGCTGGGCTGCTTCCCCTCGAGGGCGCGCTTGGTACGGCCCGCGCCGCCTCCTTTTCTCGCTGGGGTGGCTCCTCCCCTCTCGGGTCCGCGGCTCTTGGTGCCGCCCTGGAGAACCAGGTCATCGGCCGGTTCCCGTGAAAACAAAAACAATCGGCAGCGCGGCCGCGGGCTCCCGAACGCGGCAAGCGGGGGACCGGGGACGCGGGGCCGGGTGGGGTGAGCAACGCGGAGCGTACGCAACGCGCCGGGGGCCGGGCGCCATGGGGCAGGCGGGCACAGGCTGCGCGGGGCTCCCCCGGCGCCGGGACTAGCTTGCTCGCCGCTTCAGCAGCCCGTGCCGCCCGCCTGGGGGACGAGGAGCAGGACGCGGCCTCGGCCGGGCCCGGGACGAACGGCTGCAGACACCCGGGCGCCGAGGAGCCGAGCGCCGCCGCCGCCTCCGAGATGGATCAGTGCGTGACGGTGGAGCGCGAGCTAGAGAAGGTGCTGCACAAGTTCTCGGGCTACGGACAGCTCTGCGAGCGCGGCCTGGAGGAGCTCATCGACTACACGGGCGGCCTCAAGCACGAGATCCTGCAGAGCCACGGTAGGGCGGCCGGGGTGGGCGCGCGGGGCCGGGCCCACCCGCCCGCGCCCCCCAGGCCATGATTAGCCGGGAGGGGTGCCCTCGGAGAGCCGTTTCCCGCCTCCACGAGGCGCAGAGATCCTCAGACCCCCGTGACTTTTCCTGATCTTTCCCAATTTGACTCGAACCTGTCCGACCTGGTTGTTAATTAAGAGCGAGTGCGATCCACCCGGAAACCCATCCCGGAGCTGTGTGCTCCAGCCATGTTAAACGTGCGTGGGGATCGGTCCACCGCACCTGCAAATTGCCGGCCCCCGGTGTGGATGCCCCTTGTCCCTACTGGCCGGGAGGGTCTGAGTGATAAGAGGATAACTGCAGGAAGCACTTTCCTTCTCCCCTGCTCCAAATCCTTTTTCGGGGACTGACTTTCCTTTTTTTTTT